AAAATGTCAGTTATAAGAAATGTCCCTAGCTTGAGCCATAAATTCTGAGTCAAATATGGGGTCTGGCTTGAAGTTTGATTGTAACTTTGAACACTCATGGGTAGAATAGACAGCCCAAGAGAAAAGGCCCAGTAGAAAGACACTTAGTTAAATTTGACTCTGCCACTTACATAAAGCTTTCTTTTAGGGGAAAACCAAAGCCATGTTTCTAGGACTTCAAAATATGCATACGAATCACCTAGGGATCTTGTTAAAATGTAAATTGTGATTAAGTAAGTCTGAGAGGTAAGATCTGAGATTCTGCATTTCTACCTAGGTATATGCATGTTACCCGTCCCTGGACCAACTTTGAGTAGAAAAACGCTTTGAGGATTATTGCTAAACTATGGGAAAAGTCATACTCTGTAAATGTTAAGATAGATAGATAGATAGATATAGATATAGATATAGATATAGATCACTTTATACTGGTTGACAATAGTTGGGGATTCAATTTAAATTTTTAAGAAAAATTCCAAGTGGAACAAATTATGTTTCAGAAATCCTTTGTGGGAGAGTAGGGAGAAGGAAGGGAGAGGGAAAGGGTGTTCGTTAAGTACTGAGTTATAATTAGATAAAAGAAATAATTTCTCACGTACTACTGTACATAGGGCAGTAGCGGCGAACACAAGGCATTTGTGCCGCAGCGGGCATGCAGAGCCCCTTCTGTGAGCAGGCCAGTCGAGCTGTCTCAGCATCGCCCCAGCAGCCAAACATTGGATAACGGCGCACATAGGGGCCATACGCGGGCTAGGAAGCTACTCAGTCTCTAACAGGTTAGCCACCACTGGCACAGGGTGACTCTAAATACTGATAATGTACTGTATATTTCAAAAGAGCTAAACAAAAAGACTTTTGGAGTTTTCACCACAAAGAAATGATAAAGAATGGAGAAGGTAAGTTTAACCTGACCTAGCCATTATACTATGTAATAAATGTATTGAAATACCCCATAAATATGCACAATTTTGATATCATCAATGAAGAATTTTTAAAAAGTCAAAACCCCAAGATAGCCTTCAATTAAACAAAACTGGGAACTGGAAGGACAACACAAAAGGGATATTCACACTAAATTTTGCTGTGCTTTGGAGGCCTTGAAAGAATAACTTGAGTAACACCTGAATAAAAAATATAAAAAATGCCCTTCATTTTTAGAAGTTTGTACAGTTGGACCTATTCCTAGAAATAGCCTCTCGATTGCCTCATCCCAATGAAAGCAGGAATATTAAATTACAAACGAGAAGAAGACAATTGGCTTTCGGCACACTGGGCACGGGAAGCAATGACTGTGAGGAAAAAAAATCACAAACTAAGAGGGACAGAAAGTGTAGCTCAGTGGTACAGCACTTCCTTGCGTGTACAAGGCCCTATGCTTAACCCTCAGCATAAAAAGTGATTCAGCAAAGCTACAGAAGTCAGTTGTACAAATGCCCTCACTTTCCTGTGTAAAACTGTTATTTTTCATTGGTGCTGACATTTTGTAAAACAAGAAAATGAAATTCGCAGGTTAATCTTTGATTTATAAGCATTTCTGTGTTGCTTATCTGAAGTACAATCAACAATGCTCTGTTTAAGGAAAACTACGTTCTCTCTGAGGTTCCACTCTCCCAACACTTTGGCCGATTTTTCACCATTATACGGTCAGTTTGCTGCATTATGTGTAAAGGAGTTGCATCACATATCAGAAAATGTATAACAGATCTCTCCCATGAAGAAATAAGTATTTCTCCAGTCTTTCCAGTCTTTTAGATTTTGTGCAGAATGACTCACCATCACAGACCCAGATTATCAACACTTTCCTTGTTTCCATGATAGATCTCTTTTAACAGTTCTGGAGCCACCATGACCATAGCACTGGGATTCTGCTTTAGAGATGCCAAACACCCATCAGACTCACCTTCACCTAAATTTAAGAGTTTGTCTCTTTCCTTCTGTCTGTTTAACTTCTCTCACCTGTTTGTGGTGAGAGCATGCATGACTCATAAACCCAAAATGCCACTGTTAAACGGATAGGCATGAATGAAAATTTAGCGTGGTTCTATTACAGACAGAAAGAAATGATACAAGACAAAAATTTGAGTGGCTATCAACCTGTTCTGGCAGGACCATTCCTTTGAAGTATGAACTGAAAGTAAAATTACTAATGCCAATTACTAAGCAAGTCCACAGCCCAGTCAATACCAATCATGAAGCCATTTAAATGCAAAATAGCAATGAAAGAATTCACTCTGAAAACATTCAAGAAGCAGACATTAGAAATATTTAATAATGCCAGAACCGCACACATGGTAGGGAATATCACACACGTGAAGACTGTTCTTTGCTCTAGTCCTGGGTAATTTGGGTCAGCTGCCCCAAGTAGGTGGCCTCATAATTGAGCAGCTCTTCACTCTCTTAGCTTTTTCCTAGGAAATCTTGAAGCTTTGAAGAAAACTGAGCAGTAGTTCCTCTCCACAGAAACATTTGTGTAGTGCACCAGACGTAATTTTAAATGGTGGAGATAATTGCTTAATTCAAGCTGTAGCAACTGGCCAAGTAAACATGTAGCAGCCAGGAAGCTATTAGCATGATTTTAAGGCAATTATTCCATTAGTGTTTAATAGTCTCCAATTAGTCTTCTCTGACTATCAAAGTTTGAATGTGTGTTTTTCCTCCAAAAATTCTCAGTGTTGAATAATTCAGAAAAGTACCCAATCCTTTTTTAATCCTGGTTGTATATACTGCATATGGATCTACCAAATCTCTTTTACAGAATCATGGGGGTATGAAGGAATACAAATCTTGTGATGTATGGTGTGTGTGTGTGTGTGTGTGTGTGTGTGTGTGTGTGTGTGTTTCTCAGTAGTGAAGTGAAAATGGGAGGTTATGCAGGGGATCCACTCTGGATATTTTATTCACAGGGGTTGGGAAAGCAACAGAAGTTTCCATGGCATCCCAATGCCATCATCTTTATGTCTTTACTCAGAGATTACCAGAATTTCAAAATCTCTGATCCCAAGTTTCCACGTTGTTCCATGGGAGAAGAGAAGAATTATCCTGGTCCCTTGTACTCACCCTGGGGAGTACTTGTGCAGAATCACCCAGACACAAATTCTAATCCCTTTCCCTCCAAAATTCATAGTAGATCTTCCGTAAAATCCAGTTTAGAGATGAGATTATTAAACTAATTGTAGGTCCACTTATCTACATCGAGTTTCCCTTTTCTCATCTATGAACTGAAGGTAAAAGTACACTTCACAGTGGTTTTGGAAGAATATGAAAAGTACACTTAACAGGGCTTTGAAACGTGATGTATTACGGAAATGTAAGATAGATTCATCCCTCAGAACTAGCTGTGCTAATTTTAGGCTTTTAACTTCAATGCATGTCTCAGGTCCCCTATGAGGAAACTGCCATCCCTTACCTTCTCTGTGTACACGAATGTGCAGGTGAGAAAGTAATTGTTTAAAACTATATATATAAAAAAAAAAAACTAAGGAAGAAAAAGGATGGGAATCTGTGGAAGTGAGAGTGGAATTTTGCCAGCAAAGTTGTCTATTTTCTACCGTCTTCTTCAGCTCCTTTAAAAGAGCAATCCTCAGGCTCACCCAGGTAGCAGAGTATGTACAGCGTGGAGAAGCTGTGTTGTTCTTTTCTCTGGAGATCTCTGGGCCCTTGGGAAGTTACCTAGTGCAGAAGGGCAAAAGGACACAACTTTCTGGGAAGGGTGCTCATAGGGATGCCTGTGTCGGTCATCTTTGCCTAACATCCACCTAACTAGCACCACTGACTTAAATTATTGACCATTTCCAGCACTGTTCCTTTATTTTGAAGAAAAGGTTTTTTCGGGGGGGGGGTACTTTGGGGGTTATTTTTCTTCTTCATTATGTTTTTCCCCAGTGACTGAGATGGGGGCACTAGGTGGGCCAGAGCAAGAGAAGAGAGACCGGAAGGCTGAACTGAATAACCCAGCTCTGCTCTGGATAGAAGGTGGACTTGGACTATCCATCCGTAATTGGCCCTCCAACCTGGTCTTGGAAGGATCAGGTGTGAGCACCTTCTGTCCAGGTGCGTAGCAGCTTAATTGGCAAGGAAGTACAACCTGTTCCTAGCTGTCACCCTTGCAAATTGTCCTGAAACAACCCTCCCTCCTGTAGAGCTGAGCCAGGACTGCTGCGCACTCTTGCCCGAAACCTGCCCAGTCGTCTGGCCCAAGTCACGCGTGCCTTGCGGGAGCCTCCTGATAACTATGCATCTTCCTTGCCTTGTCCCCGGAGTCTTCCTTCTAGGCTGTCTGGACATCCGCTCAATCACCGTTCCCCCACCATCTGCCCAGTCATCCCACTCCAAGGTCGCTGACCGCGCAGGTTCCCTTCCCGGTCTGTCCCGAGCAGCACACGCACTGTCAGGAAGGTTCGCTTTCCGACCCGGCCGCCCGCGCCGGCCCGGCCCA